CTAATAAGTAGGTGTCTCACTGAATGAATGAATGCAGCGCTGGGCAATCAATTACGTAATATGAACTATCTATATGAACTATCATGTGAGTATTATTTTATCAAAACGCTTACAAGGTATTTGCTTCTTACTTATTCTTGCTTTTTTCTTTTCTTGACATTCTTTAGTGATATGTGATAATAATTGTTGTTTTTAATTATGATGTTAACATACAGTTTAATAGTTGTTGAATATTCTTTTCTTGTTGGATTTATTATAATCGAATGACTCAATAGAACAACAATAGATTTTTTTAAATCTCATAATTAATTTTTAATTCACTTTATCATCGGAATAAAAAGTTTAACAGAAAACCTGTCCAGGGCCACTCTGTGATCCCAGTCCCGGGCCGCTTAGCCATCCCAATCCGCCCCTGATTACATCTAGAGTAGAAGCTACTCAATACAATACACTAACCCACTAGGAGTACCAAATTTTGAATTCAGGCTAACATTTCATGAGCAGTAAGTCCAGGGCTAATATGATTTTGCTTGCATAAAATGTGTGCATGTGTGTAAAATCCAACTCTACATAATTAAAATTTATCAAAATGCTACCCATTGTTATTTTCTCCTTTATATCATAAAATATCTACTCTCACTGAAAATTTTGAATGATCAGTGGCTTGTTCATCGATGATAGACTAATCCATCATAAACCTGATATATAAACACAAATATATGCAACTCAGTTACTGACTTGTCAATTAAATTGTTCTATTGTACAGTTTCATATTTAAAACATTTTCTAATCTATGTGATTACTTTTCACTGGGATTAGAATAGCTATTTTTAATGAAAAGTTTTACTGATACAAGATGAAACAGCTGTGTTAAACAAAATGACTTTGACCACCCACCTGGAACTCCACAGCCTTTTCCCTACATACAATGGAAAATGGTAATGTGTTACACACTTCAGACCACATATTGTTATAAAAGTTTGCCATATATGTGGACTGGATAATCAGCCTAGAGATTTTAGGTTTTCATATATTATCAATTAAATCATGCTATTTTAAATGTCAGGAACACCACTCACATATAGACTGGTTAATACCCCTATAGGCTTTATGCCTGCATCACATATGCAGTAGAAAATTGTATTTATTTTAGTTTGAAGTATTTGTAACATATATATATATTTTTGTAATATGTAATAATACAAGCATTATGTAGTAAAAAAAATACAGCTGGGCTGGTAGTATTTCAGATTGGGTTACTTAATTTCTCACGCTCACTAGACTGGGGCTAGTATGTGAAAAAAATTTACATCCTTTCTTGGTTAACTTCATTAATAACCCACAACTGTATTGTTCTTAGCTGTGTATATTACATTTAAAGCTCCTTTTTTATTCTTTCAATATTTTGAATAATAACAAATCTATTTACACCATCGGAGATTTTTAACAGGATTCACAAACTTTTTGGGGCTTTTCTTGAGATAGTATTTTTAGTTGCTAGTGCAGACCTTCATCAGGGCACTAACACACTGAAAGATCAAAAAGCTCTAGCTAGAGCTACATCTGAAAGGTTCTTTAATGCAGAAAATAACAAAAAATTTTACAATTGCCAGTGAAACTGCTAATTTATGGTTTACAAAAAGAAGTAAAGCTCAAGTCAAAACTATTTATTTTATTTTTATTTTGGATAAAAATAAAGAGCCAAGACAACTTTACACACATTTTGTTGTCACATAGTAATTTGATTAATGTCTAGAAGGATAGTGTGACTTCACATAAAAACTTTTCTTTCACATAACCAAACCTTTAAACCCTAGAACTAAAAGTGAGATCCATATGAGCCTCTTGGGCATTTCAAACATCTTTCTACACTATTTATGCTTGTGGGCTAGCTCAGCCACAAAAAATATATTTCAATTAATCCCACTAACTACTGTTGAGGCCCCCTATGTACTTTACAGAGAAAATAAGAAATCCCACCAATTTGAATTGGTCTGTTCTTTAAACTGAGTGTTGTAAAAGGCATAAACTTAAAATTACACAATATGATGCAATACATAGACACCCCCTACCAGTAATAAACATTGCAAGATTTTTTTTAATAATTTTTGATCAATACATTTATATGTGTGGTAATATCTTATATAGTCTTGTGTTTATAAAGTTTAGTTGAAGGAGCCTTAAGTACACAGAAAGATAGATATCTGTTGGAAACAACAGACCATATATAGATAAATCACAGATCTTATCATAATTCAGTAAGTGGCAGCGATAGTTGCAACATACAATCTTACATTGAGAATGAAGAAGCAACTAAGGGGTTTGGGTGAATAGAAAAAAGCTCCCAAGCAAGGTTTGAGGAAGAGCACTAGCAGTTAAAGCCTTACGTATTCCAACACAATTTTTTTCAAATTTTTGATACATAACAAAGTTACATTTAGACCAAATTGCAAAACTTGATCAATTTTTGAGTGTATGGGACACGAGTTTTAAAGAATTTTCAAATATTTATTCTTTTATTAACCATAATGTATAAAGTTTACATTTGATGGCATTAAACTGATAACTCATAACAAAAATGAATTACAGGAAAAAAAAACATTTTACTTATATCTTATGACAGAAAAACACAGATTACTATTTTAAATCAATTCACTTTCATTTAGCAAAAGACAGTAGAAGAGTTTGGCATTTCAAGCTTTTTTTACTTACACCCACATGTTGCATGATTCAAAATGCAAGAGTAAAACCTTTACTGCACTGTGCCTAACAAGCAGTAAATAAAAATTTGGTTTCCATATTTTGTTATCCCTAGTCATATAAACTTAAAATTTAACATGCATTACAAAGTATACTGTAAAAATATTACAGAGCAACTATGTACAGTATGTATAATATTGTCAAAATAATGCAAAGAACAGTGCTTAGGATACAACAGATTTTTCATAGACTACAGATCTGGATGCCAAGCTTGATATCTGTTGGCTACATGTTAAGGAGTCACTTACAAACTAAAAACTTTCACAGACAAGTATTAGGCAGTAATATGATTGAAATAATTACTAATTACAAAGTTTGACATTTATGCTAAATTCTAAGTTGCACCACATATGGAATTATGTACCATCGTGACTTTGATTTTATTCACCATTTTAAGATTTACATTACATTAGCTATTCTATTCATAGTATTTTGAGTTACTTGGAAATTTTACAAACACCACAGAAAATAGATAAATACAACTTTATTTTCCTCAACACAATTTCCACATACAATGTCTTCCACTTATTTTCCTGCTTTAGTGTAGTTCATATGTGAATATTTACTAGCAGTATTATTTCTCTGACCTAAAATCTCATTATAGCTCTCTGCTACATACACAGATGTCAATTAACAAACAATGAAGCAGTGAAGCTCCAAAGCAGTTCAACAGACTCATATTTATTCACATAGTTAATACTTACCCTTTCCCTTTACATTCAAAAATGTGTAAAAATATACTTAATATTTGTTTTCCTTCATTAAAAATCCCACACTTTTCAAACAATACAGAGGATAATAGAGATGTTACAACTGGAGATGGAAATACTGTAAGCTATCTGCAGTAAATACATAATGAAGTGCTGTTGGTTTCTGCTTCTCAAACTCAATCTGTAAAAACTATACTACAACTAACTAAAACATGACAACAATGTGTATTCCTCTGTCATTTTATAAGGGTAGGAAGGTATGTAAGAGAGGTGTACTAAAACGTGTATGCTTGGCTGCAGCAGTGGCCTAGCAAGGGTCCTCAGCACCTGGGGGCAAAGACACTTTTGGCACCCCCACCTCTGAAATGTTTTGATTATTTGTTTTGTGACTCATTACCCACTTAATGACAATAACTTAAAGAATTAATTACCGCCTTACACATGCCTAAAATAAAGTCACAATATAACATCTCACGATATCACGACTGTAAACCTGGAACTAATGAAGTATAGGCTACTAGGTGTACTTACATAATTTGTAAACCATTTTGTATATTTATGTCATCCAGTATTGTTCAAAGTCACATAGCTAGAGTAAGTATTTCAAGCATGCAGAATAATTTCTGTTAT